CCTGCATTTTTAAATCTAAATTTCTATCTTCTAATAAACATCTACAGAACTTGCCTTTCTACACAACAAGAACAGATGCCTTTGTCTGAAATAACTGAAATTCCATCTTGAAATCCTTCTCCCCCTTCTACTCCCACATTTATTTTTTATGCATGATAAGCGATTTCTTGTCTTTGCGTTAAAAGCGACCGAATTTAACCCCAAAAGTCCCACCGCAGTACTTGTTTTCTATATATATATATGCATGCTACTGAAGTATTTGAAAAAAAAATCTGTGGTAAGACCTGCTGATATTGAGGAATTTGAAAAAAATTCGAATTTCTCAATGTCGACAAATCCCATCACAGATTCCAAAATGAAAACCCAGCTTTAAAAAAATTACAGAATTAAAAATCGAATGACGAAATGTATGACAATTCCGGGAACTTCTGGTTTTTTTCTCAAACCCATATCAGATTTCTCAAAACTGTACCAAACTTCGCTTAGTTTTGAAGTCAGAATTACTTAACCCATAATTCTTGATGTTACTGAGATTAAAATAATATTTATCTTTAAAATAGCCAGGACCATCGGTTTCGAAGTTCCCGAAGCGTAAGAAGCAATAAGGAAGCCACGAAATAATTTCTCCCTACTCATCCCATAGCTAAATGCACAGGAAACCCCTCGTCCCACAACTAAATGTACAGGAAACCTCTCGTTCCGTAGCTAAACGAACAGGAAACCCCTCGTCCCATAGCTACACGAACAGGAAAACCCCTCGTCCCATAGCTAAACGAACAGGAAAACCCTCGGCTAGTTAAATCCGTACAGTTTCACCAATATTAGAGCTCTATATTTCAACTTAGTTAAGTCTGCTAGTTGAATCCGTACAGTTCCATCATGTTAAATCTGTATATTCCAAATTAGTTAAGCCTGCGAGACGTCCGCTGGTTAAATCTGTACAGTTCCACCCATAACTAAACGAACAGGAAATACCCATCGTCTCATAGCTAAACGAACAAGAAAAACCCCTCGTCGCATGGCTAAACGAATAAAAAAAAACCCCGAAATAATTGTTTTTTCGAAAAGACCGGAAAGCGAACATGAAATATAAATATGTCACGAAAAGAGATCAGTTTTCACGGAAATCAGTTCACGCAACCGATGGATTACCAAACGATGCTGGTGGCTGTTGCTGCTGGTTTACGTTGGCATTCCAGGCTGGATCGGTGCTGCCACCAATCGACGAAAGATCTGCTTTTTTGCCAAGTGCCATGAATCCATAAACTGTACCAGATGCAAATATCATCCCACCGCCAAGTACTGTATTCAGTTCCACACACAACAGAATTGGTACCAGACCCATGCTGAAAATAAGTACTTGAAATACGAAATTTGCACCGAATATACCAAGAATATCAAGGTTCATAGGCGGATTTAGGAGGAGGAAGGAGAGGCATGAGATTTT